ATTTTGGGTTGTTCTTACTTTTCATCTAGTTCAGTAGCATCTCTCAAGTACCAGCAGCGCATACCAAAGGCCTGAGAAGAAACTACCTGGACTCTGTCTGGGCAGCACTGGAATACTCTATTGCTGCCCTCAATACACACGTACATAAAGTTCTTTGCTCCTATATTGAGAGAGAAGAAGAAAACAGATTCCATTTTAGCCTTCTCTGGACATGAAATATTTCACAAAGTCCTCTCCCACTCACCTTAGTTCCATAAACAAAACAAAACAAACAAAAAAACCCACAGAAACCCCACACCACTACCAAATTCCTTTGACTCCTCCTTAAAACGATGTGTCAAATATTTGATTACTCATCGCATTTTAGAATAAAGTACTTTCTTGTCAGAGTGTCCTCTCCAAAATGTAGTAATTCACACATTGCTGTTAAACTGGTATTCTGCTATTGGGAGAGGTTGAAGTTACGATTGTACAGTCAGCTCCTTCTATAACACCCTTCAGCCAATCAAGTGTCTTTCAAAAATACCTGACCTTAAGTTAGACCAAATATATTTAAAATACATACCTGACAGGTGCTACTGAACTTGCTGCAATAATCGGAGCAATTTCCCATTCTTTTCTAAACACAAGGTTAGGATGGTTTTTTAATAAAAAATAGAAACTTGGAAAAAAGTGCATCTTTTTTACTTAGGTCTTGGGAAAGATGATATTCTTTCGTTCATAGTTGCTTTCTGCCTTATTGATTGAAAAGATTCTCATCCTGAACACTGATGAATAATATACACACCTTTGTAAAAAGAATTATCTCATTGTTATAGGCTGTTTCGTACTGATATTTCAGCTTGATTTTGCCACTGTTTAGCAAGGGAGCCTTTCAGATTTATAAAAAAATATTTATAAAAATGACACATTAATCACACCCCCAGTCTGATATGAATTTTGATCTTTCAAAACTCAGAGCAAAATTTTTTCAGTGATTTAAAAAGAAAATAGAAAGCACCTGTTCTATTGAAAACTTCTTGTTTTCAACAAAGGAAAGTGACAATGCTAGCCTAGAGTTTCTATGGCTGACCATAACACCTAGAACAAAGCAATGAATTCTGTGAGTGAAGGCATCCAGGTCAGCATGTTACTGGTCTACACCCAGTTAGAGAATAAAAAAAAAAAAAAGGTTAATTTTGAAAACTCATGTCTGCTCAGGAAGGAAATTCAAGTTGGTTTACCTCCCAGCCACAAATCTAACAAATTTGTTGCTTTTAAAAGAAAACCATAAATCATGATGGACTATTGTAGTACATTATATCTAGGATTCACACCCTAACCAGAATTGCTACTGATGCATACCCCTCTTCCCTGTAATAAATGCATAAACTACTCACTCTCCCCTATTCAGTTTGTAGGAAATGTTCTTCAAAAAGTTCTCACAACTTTCATTGGGACACAGGCAGGCTTTAAGATCAGCTTCAAGTACATTCTTTAAATTCCCCTGGTGTCTTTGTTCCACACTCCAATTTTGTAACTGCCCCCACCTTGTCGAAACTGGGCATATATAGAGCTCCACCCATTGCAATAAGCTGGCAGTGTCTTCGTCCTTTTATAGCTACTTGTCTGCAGATACCCCAGCACCCTTGCCATATACAATGGCAGAACTGCAAGCAAAAGACTGTGGCATGCAGTCCCAGCATTCTCTAGGATATTATCCTCCCGTTGTTTCTCAGCCTTCCTTTTGTATTTTCTCTTATTTCTTAGATTTCCTCTTGTCTCCACAGCTACACTCATCACATAGTGTCTAAAGCCACAAAGAAAGACGAAAGGGTCAGGCAAACAGAGTCATGTATAAAAACAACCTTTTATTTCCACATCAAAACAACTTCTATTTTAATTACTTCTTTGAGAAGGTAATGAGTTTAAAGTGTCCTTTGTTTAGCCTCTTAGATATAGACCAAGTCTGCACGATTTTGCTATTACAGACATTTTCCTGGTACACACGAAAGAGTTTTCTCTTAATCTCCTGCCTGAGAAAAGTATGAGAATCTGATGATAGTACAAGGAATACAAAGTCCTCTGTGAGCAATGGCAAGGTCTAGAATAGATGTATGAAAGTCTAAAGTTTGGCTTAGTAAGTGCACATTGAAGCCAGTATTGTTGTTAGCTATGACAAGTGCTGAGGTCCACTAAAGCTTTAAGTAAAAATGAGGTCTATTTGGAATTCAGCTCGTATTACTCAGTTATTTCATTAACCATCCAATTTTGACACATCCATTGTAGGTATGTATGAAAAGAGGTCTAAACTTTTTGGTGAAATACAGGATGAATCGAGCTAACAAAGTGCAAAACATATGAAAGGCGATGCATCAACACTGGTGAAATCCTCTCTGAATTCTCCTACCAGGCAAGCATAGATTATAGTCATCACTGTTCACAGTCATGATTGATTCAGTATTGCATTTCAGAACATATTATACACCTGTAATCAATCTCATTATGATTCTATCATTAATATTAACAATTTACAGTATAAAATTTTGCATCCGTTGCCAGAAGTATTTCTTCAGCTCTTTAATTAAACCAATCCTGGGTGATGCAGGGCATAAGTCTTCATTGTGTGATTTGGCCTATCAAAATTCCCCAGCAAATTTGCTGTTTTGACACTAGGTACAGAAGCATGCCCAAGTTATACAACTCTGTTGTTTCAAGAACTGTTGAAAAAAATAACGTATCTCATGTTTTCTTAAAAGAACATGCCCTTTATAATACATTCCAACTTTAATATACTGATAGCACACATGGTCATAGAGATTAATTTCTAACTTTAGGACATGCTAATTCCACAAGGATTAGTCAAACCAAAAGGTTTCACAATTCCAAGTGAGCTCTCTCAAAAGAGCTTTGCACCACCTCAGTCCGATATATTGATGTATTATCTACCAGTCAGATAATAGCACTTTTGAACTCCAGAATTAGACTCAAGTTTCTTGCAAACCTTTGAAACCTGAAATCAAATATTCTCAAGGAATTAAAAAATAAATGTTAAAGTAATTGGTCTCATTAATGACAAGCATGGTGTTTTTAACTGGAAACACCTTCAGCAACCACTACTGGCTACACAATCTATACAGAAAATAGAAGGCAAATATTGTAACACTTCTGGTCCTGTTAAAAACCTAGCTTATCATAAACTGCTTGTCAGATGAACCTTGGTTTTGACACAAAAAGAACATGCTTTCCTAAAAAAAAAAAAAAAATCCCAAATTAGGAAAAAAAAATACCTACCGAAGTAAAAATATTCCACTTAGAAAACTAAAAACATTTTCACTGCAATCAAAATTATCCAAGGAAAAAGAAGAAAGCTCACTTTTTAACTGCACATACTAGTAATACAGAAGGGAACAGCAAGGTTAATTCTAAAAGCATGTGCAGGTAAGTTAATTTTGCACTTTTGAACATCTCACCTGCTTTCTTACTACAGCTCCCATGGTCTCAAATATTCATTCTATTATCCCTGACCACCACGCCCCATCATGTAAATGCTATGGAGATTTTCCAATGTATTCATTTTCTTCTATGATTTTACACCGGAGATTTTTTGACAAAGTGTTTGCCTCTCACGATGCTATGCCTTACCAGATAAGCTTTCTAGCAGTCCAGCAGGCAAAATTTAATCCTACATGAGTGACACGAAGAAATGCCACTATTTTAAAGTTAATTAACTAAGCTTTGGTTTGTAGCTTTGAATAATATTTCTTCCTCTGGAAAGAGAAGATTCTCAGTTTCATAGCAAAACAAACAGTTCTTCTAGGCATAGAAAGGTCTAAGAAAACAATGCAGCTGTAATTTTTAGGAAAAACTGTGGTTCTCAATTCATACATACTCCTAATCATAATCTCTTAAAACAATAAAAACTCTGTTATTTACTTCAGGCAATAAAAAAGCAGCCTCAGAATAGACAATTCATTATTATCATTAATAGGCAATTCTGCATTCACCATTACTATTAATACCTGATTTTGTTTAAACATCGGGAAGCATGCTCACGATGCACTTTCACTATGCTCATTGAACTTCATTACACATCATACACGACCTGAGCACAAGATCTCCTCTTACTGGATCTCAAAATGTATTGTATTACTACAGTGTAGTACATAATATTGTGCAATACCTACGTAACATATAGGTATATAAGAGTATGTGTTGTGTTACACAGTACCACAAACTTTTCTGCACAGAGATTTCTGAAATTGAGGTATATAGACATATGCATCCAAGTAAATTCTAAGGCTGAGATTTTGCAACAAGATCATTTGATGTAAATTAACACTATTAATATCTAGTATCTCTCCAGAGCTACTCAAAGTGCTATCCTATGTGAGCTTCAGAATACTAAAGAAGCTCCTTTGCCATAGCATCTGCAACACGACAATATGATGTGTATTGTACCTCTCAAGAGTCCATAAGCTGTGGCTACCTAGCTTCAGCCTTGACTGGCCTGAGATCACTTTCAGTTCAGGACACTGTACAAACAGAACTGTATGACATCTCAAAGCACAAGCTGATGTCAGAAGAAAACTTGTATTTTCAAATGAAGTTTTGACCTCGATAGAAGTAGTTTAAATTGTTTTCCTATTATTTTTAAGTACATCATTTTTGAGGGTTGTGATTAATGTTTGAGACATGCAACAAGCACATCAATCAGAATGATGTTTTAATGAAAACAAAAAATAGAAGATATTTAATCAGGCAACCACTTCATGCTGTATTTATCTTTTGAAGAAAAACATTCTTTTACATCCAAAGTTACAAACATGAAAAAAGAAAACAGGCAACATTTTTCTTCTATTCGCCTTTCTACCCACCATCCTACCCATCCAGCAGACTGCATTACATCAGATAATATATTCTGACCACCACCTAGCACCAACCTGCTTCCAGATGCAGTATCATCATTTTGGATTAATTTTACCTATTGTATACTCCATCTCCTCCACTCTAACCCATGTTCAACAGAGATACTCAGACCTAGAGCCCTCACTTTTGAAGGTCATTTGAGAATCCATGCTTGACCTGGAACAAAGGAGAAGTCTTTCTGACTCGCCTGTGTACCTTCGTGCCCAGAGCTGCTCTCCTGCATTCACTGCTCGAGGCTTCAGAGACAGCGTTTCAAATTTCACATAGGTCTCTTTTGCAAGGTCAGCTTCCTTTGCACTTTTTGGTTTCACATGAAGTTTGATAACTTTGTAGAGCAAGAAAAATATCAAAGGTAAAATAACCACACATGCTGCACTGCTGGCCACTATCAGAATAGAAAACTGAGAGCTGCTTTCGTCATTTAACCTATCAGTGGAGAAAATAATGCACTGCTCTTTTGTAGGTGGCACTCCTTTGGGTGAGACACATGCCATATATTGAGTACTAGGTTGCAAACCATCAATTGTGACTTTGTTTTTGCTAGAATCAGTGCTCAGAGGCAACATATCTTTCTCACCATACTTCGAATATAACACAGTCACTGCAGAGTTGCTTGTGGCATTGACAGTTTTCCAAGTTAAGGTCACTCTTTCATCAGTTTCACTGATCACTCTTAGGTTCTTTACAGTAACATTTTGCTCAGCAATACCTTCTGTATTCAGTGAAGTCTCCTCACCTTTCTTGCTTATCTCCCCAGTCTGCTTTTTGTTTCCATTTGTCACTGCCTTCGAATATTTCTTTCCATCAGACATGGGTCTGGATTGCTTCTTGTCAGTAAACCTGATGCTCGTTGATCTTTCAGTGCTAGTCAGTGCTGTGGTAGTTGGTGTGGTGGGAAGAGGTGTGGTTGTCCTCTCAGGTTCCTGCTTGGATTCCTCCTGAGTGGTATTCTGTCTCTCTGCCTCTTGCTTCCTTCCATACTTCTGTGGTGACACAGTTGTAGTAACTACACCAACCACTGTGACAGTAACAGCAGCTTCTGACATAATTCCTGCTAAGTTCTTGGCTTTACATCTGTATTCTCCTGCATCCTTGTATGAAATCCCTGTCAAGCTTATTATGGACCATCTGACACCCTCTCCAGGTGTTTCTTGAATTACTACAGGAAAATGCAAAGAGTAACACATTATAAAAGGGAGCTAAAGAGAAAGTAAACATTATTAGACTACTTCTTCCCTTATTTCAGACAGAAGAATTCACATGTATTACACTTTAAAAAACAAACAAACAAACAAACAAAAACAAAAACCCAAACAAAGAAGCCCTACCAAACAAACAAAGAAAAGAAAACCAATCCAAACTCCACACATAAACTGGGGAACTCCCTGCTATATTATATTATTACAGAAAAGTGCTCAGCTTGGGTCAAAATGGAATTGAATGCCTGGAGGAATTACAATATAATCTGCAGTTTCACTAAGTAAAACAAAACCACATAAACAGAAATCAAATATCTGAAAGCTGTTAAATGACTAGGAAATACAAGGCTTACTGTCTTCAAATGACACTGAACACACTAGCCATTTAAAACATTTTTGGAAATTACCTTTCTCTTAAGATATTTCAGTACTTTGGACTATTACCTTCTTCAGACCTATGATTTAAGATAACTGCCAACTACTTGGCATTAGCAAGAAATATTCTTTATATTTAAGTTACTGCATAAATATCTATCATAGCAGCTAGAATAATATCAGAAAAATCACAGCCTCTTCAGCATTCAAGATGGGTGTTGTAAATAAACAATAAACATTTGCAAATAACATAGAAAACGCAATTTTGGAAAATCCTATGTTTACAGTGCTGAGTTTTAAGTGGCTCAGTTATGGCCTCACTAGCTTTTTTAACATGAACATTTTCAACCAAAAAGGAGTTTCCAGTAACAAATTCTCCTTTCTGCTTTTCAGCCTCTGAGTTAGGGCCCAACTATCCCAACCTTCACTTTCCTTTATCCTTCACCTGCTTCAGCTGTTTTCCCCTTCCATGCACATTGTTCCTATCACAGACCACATCCAGAATCAAGACAGTCTGTTGGACCTGTTCAGACCCAGACAAAGAATTTCATCACAAGCTGGCACTTGTATCTGTGCAACAGCTGGTGCAACACCTGGTCCATTGTTACTCTTTATAAAGATCTCAAAGTACAAGCAACCCAACAATATCAGGCTCTCCCATTTCCTATAAAAGAGCAATTATACCTGTATAGTTCACTGGTATATTGTCTGACCTAGTCCAAGTAAGCTGCGGTGTTGGGTACCCTGTCGCATCGCAGCGTAGCAGAACGTTGCTTCCCAGCGGGGAAGTGATTTTTGTCGCTGATGTCATCACGGATGGTTTAAGACACTGCTCTAACTCAGCTCTCTGGAAGAAGATTCCTGCCAGGCTTTCAGGTCCACTACATGAAACCAATGGATCAAGAAGTACAAGTGAGTTGTCCACAATTTTGGAAAATTCAATTAGCTTTGAAATGCGACAGTCACAAAACCATGGGTTGTCCTGCAAACCTGAAGCAGAGAGGGAAGAGGGGAGGAAAAGAAAAAAAAAAGAAATAATAATGTTGGCAGGCAATGTATGGATACTGTGATTGCAGCATGACACATGACTACCGCCAAGTACAAGCAAGGAGAACCATGGACTTATTCTCAGTGAATATTTTCTCTCAATTTGTGATTTGTGTTTTGCTAATTGGTGGGGGAGTTTTGGAAGAGGTGAGGAAGTATGAATGTTTATTAAGCTAAACTTTTTCTTCACAGAAGTCCACAGGAGCATAGTCATATACTAGCACTATCTTTCCTTAACTTTGCTATTTATCTAGGAAGTAACATTTTGAAAGGATGTCTTAAAATGGATGATACATTTTTTACGTGCCTTCTGAGGGCTTCAGTATCTTCTCAGGGCTATTGCATCCTGTCACTCTCCTCTGCTCTTAGTCCTTCTTTGGGCTCTTACAGTTCTCAGATCCTTTTTTTCAATGCTTGCAGAGAACATGATTTAAGGGTTTAGAGCTTACACCAACATCTCTGCCCCTTGAAAAAAAGGATAAAGGCTAAGGACAAAAAGCTTTAGGCCAATGAAATTCTTATCTGGCTCTGAACTACAGCAATATTCTTAGAAATCTGGCTTCAATTTAGGACAACCTCTGAAATACATTCAAAAAGAATAGCAGAAGAGTAGAAAATTGGAAGGACCCTGGAAAAAGATGATGACTACAATATTTTTATGATGGCACACAAGAATGCTATCTCTCCTCTTCTATTAGAGACTATAACATTTGGTTCTTGATTCCAAAGTCTTTGAGAATGAGAGGCTTCTCCCTCTTGGTGAACTTATTATGGTGAAAGAGGGTAGCCATTTCTGAGGAATGTAAGTCTAAATCCTCAGCTGGTATTGATTACTCTGCTATTTTGACCTTCATAGAGCACCAGCAGCTTCACCAAGTAAAAGCATTTCACTCATGAGTTCTAATATTTTCTCACTTGACTTATACTTCGGGGCATATCTTTTTCATTTTTTTTTTTAATATTAACAATAAACAGAACTTACAGTCTGAAACAAGGGATGGTATGCAAGAACCCCTCACTATTGAATTTACTGATCAGTGCAGTGGACAAGTCATATTAATTAAACTAAAATTAAAAGAAAAAAAACCTGAAACACTGCTAATATTGTTCAGTGTGTATTTTTAGGAATTATCAAAACAGCTAACAGAAAAATTCTGCTTTTTTTTTTCCAGAAGAAACCTGTAGATGAAAGAATACATGAATAATTAACTACTGCTTCCTTTTATCGCCTGACCAAGATTAGGTTATTTTAAGCATGATGGCAGTGATTGGTTAAAACTGTGGTAAACCCCAATTAATCCCCGCTCTTTAAAACAAGACTTGACCTGAAGAGATTCCATGACTTTGACATCACAATCCAATTTCACCCCTTCCAGACATAAGAGATTTTGCATCTATTCACTACTTATTGCCTGCTGGAACAGAGGAGGAGAAATCAAGGAAACTGTAGCAGCAACTGCTTTTCTTTGGGAAAAAAAAAAAAAAAGAAAAAGAAAAAATAACCTCCAAAATATAAAAATTTTTCTTGTATGAATTTCACACATATTCATAAGCAAAAGAAATACCATCTGACTGTTTTCTATGTGTCTAGGCACATCAACTGTTTGTGCTCATAAAAATTCTGCCCAATTAAGCACATGTATGTAACTATCTCTGCTCATCTTTTAAATTAGGCAAGCTTTAGTCTGTAGTTAGAGACAATGTTCCAGTAATTTATTTTTTTTATTGTCACTTGTTTGTAAGGGGTCAATTTTCCTCACTATGTTAAGAAGGAGACTATATGAGCATTTAAAAATTAAATTCCCCTAAGGTGTAAGAGGGAAGACAGGATCCCCTTGAAACAAGGCCTCAACTTCCAGGGTTCCTCCGTAAGGAATGCTGCTAAAATGCACGTGAACCCCCAGCATGGCCTCAGTGCTATCTAAAGGACAGAAGCATGAGGCAGCTGTGCTACAAGCAGGCAGCAGGGCAGGAACTCTGGGTCCACAGTGTCAATCAGGACAGATCTGCAGCATCAGTGGGGCTCCTATCCCACATACCAGGCAGCAGATTCTCCCTTACATTGAATACTACTGAAAATATTTCTTCTGCAACCTTTCTGCATCCTATAAGCTTTACTGCAGGAAAGGATGGGGTTCATTATGGTTTCTAATACTACTAGCAGCCCAGATTGGATGGGGATTTGAGCGACCTGATCTAGTGGAAGGTGTCCCTGCCCATTGCAGGGGGGGTTGGAACTGGGTGATCTTTGAGGTTCTTCCCAACACAAACCATTCTGCGATTCTATGATTCTGGTTGGAAAAGACCTTTAAGAAGACAGAGTCCAATCGTAAACCTAACACTGCCAAGTCCACCACTAAACCACATCCTTAAGTGTCACATCTACACGTCCTTTAAACATCTCCAGTGATGGTGACTCTATCACTTCCCTGGGCAGCCTGTTCCAATGTTTGACAACCCTTTTGGTGAAGAAATTTTTCCTAGTATATATAAATACATGGCTTTCATATTCTCCCAGTGTCTCAAAGAAGAACCAAAGTTGCTACAGTGAGTATCAGAAATTGACAGAATAGAAGGAATGATGAAGCAAAGATGGACAGCTCTTAGCTTGTATGGTTGTTTAGTCCAGTCTAGGACACAGGTTTGACTATCAGAGATCATTCTGAAAGCCTGGTTTCAGCTTCAGAAGAAAGCTGTAGTCCCAGAAGACTCTGTATTTCTGTGCCTTAGTGCAAAGAAAGACTTATTTCAGTTAGTCACCTCATCTCCCCCACCCATCATACTTCCCAGTGCAAGTGGCTAAAGAAGGAGGACTTATACAAATACATATAATATATACAGCTACAGGAATTTCTTGTTTGTCTCCACAGCTCATCCCTTCTATTTACTTGTGTCTTGCCAATATCTGACAGTATTCACGTTACTTTTAGTAAACTTGTACAGCCCTTGTAAGTCATCAAGTCATGTGAATTCCCAAAATGAAAAGATGAAAGCACTATTGAGTTGGAAGCAAGGATAAAACACTGAATTTGATTACATTTCAGTTAGCTATTGAAGAGAATAGAAATGGGAATGTAAACCTAGTTTTCAAACTACAAAGGGCATTCTGAAATTCAACAGCTTGTGTTTACAAGATGGTAAAAGTGAGAACAAACACATGAAAGAATGAAGAAAATCTTCCAAAAAAAAGAAAAAAATAAGAAATTGGAAAAAATTGAGCACTTTAATAAAGGAATGAGATGGAATCCCCTCAGGAGAAGAAATTCCTTAGAAAAGAAAATAAAAATAATGATAAGTCTCCAACAGCATGTGTATCTGATGGAACACCAAGTCTTTATAAATCCTGGATTCTTTGTAGAAATATTAAGGCAGCTTCTTGACCCGAGAAAGAAATACTAACCAAAGCAAAACAAACATTTATGCATTGCAATATACCAATGCAGTGTATTTTAACATAAAATATGGATTATAAATTACTCTAAAAAACTTTCTTTATCCTAGATCAAGCATATTTTAAATTTACACTCACACATTTATATGTATGCTTGCATGTACAATGGCAAATATATGTATATGTGTGTCTGTGCATGCATATTTTTGCAGCCTTCTCAGTAAGCAGGGTTTCCCCATGCTGTGTCAATATGGACTTTAGCATTCAAAATAGCTATCAGTGAAATTTCCTTTGTAAATCAGTAACCAGTCTCAGACCATAACTTGTATAATAATCTGCTTTTCAGTTGCTGTAAAATGGCAGTATATGAAATATTGAATATTGAAATATTCACCATAGCTTGGGCCAACCTACCCAAGGCTCTCTTGGAACTGAAGCTGCAAAATTTTTGATCCATGGTTCTAAACAGTAAAGCCCACTTCCCGCAGTGGTCCCAGTGTTTCCTACACATAGTAATTGCTAGGGAGTGGTTTCAGGAAAAGCAGCATCTACCCAGTGGCCCAGTATAACAGCTGGGAGCCTGACGGACCTGCAGCATTTTGAATTTTTGGCACCTCTACATGCAACAGAGGCAAGATCTCATCTAACTGTCACTCTATCAAATCCTGGATTCCTCTGTTCCTCTCAGTGACTCACTAGATACAATTTTCCATATGGAAAATCCACGCCAGAAATTTCCATCTCTGTACAGCAGCCAATGCTGAAACTTAGCTGTGATTTTGATCAAAGTATTAGGCTATAGCTCCAGAAGTAACCAAGAGAGGCCACGGATGAACTCACACACTGGACTCTCAATCATTTCCACTGCTTAACTGCCAGCTCACTCCACAGCTTTGTTTTGAACTGTTCCAAAGTTTGTTCTCCAACACAAAGCCAGACGTGGCTCCAGGGCCAGTTCACACTCCCGGGGTTGGTCCCCAAAAGGCTTACGGATGAGATCACACCAAGGACAGCTCTCTCTATCCTGTTCTTGCCCCCAACATAAGTGCAGCATCCTCCAAACTACCCTGCATGTCTGTCAGTCCACCAGGTATACAACAAACCCTTGCTATTTTATATTAGAAAAGCACAATTCTATGGGTTGCAGTACAATTCTCACATTACTTCAAGCAGTTTGAACTGAAGAAAAGACACCCCCACCCACACAGTTACATTTTAAGATCACTGCAGCACCCTGTAGAGCCCACGGAAAACCAAGGGCTAAATCTCACAAAGCGTGGAACAGGCAAACAGCTTTAAAGAGAGCTGGCCCTAAACTGTGTGGATGAGAGTCAGAGTGAGACACTTGGCCGTAGGGCCAGGAATCCTTCCCTGACCCTCTTTAATTTTGCATAGTATCCACATGGAGAAACATCATACAGCAGGAGGTAATTAAAAAACCAAACCTGTAATTACAGAGAATATGAATTGGAATAAGGAAATGCTAACCTGCCAGTCCCCTGGCAAAAGTAGTCCATGGCTCCTCCAAGAGTCCTTGAAGTAAACATGGGGAAACTGAACTTTCTCTTACATGCAACCTTCCTGATGCTCAGTCAAGACACTGAAGATAAAATTGCCTCCTGGTGTTAAAAAAATGCATATGCATAAACATTTGAGTTGGGGTCTTTGCTGTTGTTGATCTTGTTAATTCAATACAAGTGACAATCTTGTTTTGCCAGAACTAGTAAAGAAACCAGCTCAAGCTATAACTGCTTATACTAAGTAGAATCGGACTGCTGTTTTCCTGACTAGACAAAAACAGCATTTATTTGCTCTGGGTTTCAGCACAAAGGTCAGCCTGAATGCTCCCACAGAGAACAGCTGGAGCACATGGGACACTCTTGAGCACCAAAGTGTGCAATTGTGGGCATCCCATTTTAAGAGAAACCTTTTTTAAAAAACCCAAAGGACTTCAAAGGGAAAAATTAACTATGGTAGGAAATTTCAAAAAACCCCTTTCATTGTATAAGAAACTGGTGAAAGAAATGGTGTGATTAGTTAAGGTGGCAAACAGGGAAGGAAAAGGCATGAAAGGTTACTATAAGAGATAGTAATTAGTTTTTCTGTATATCCATCTCATGTAGGACAAGAGATAATCAGCTTAGTTTGCAGTAAGGGAGATTGAGGTTAGATATTAAGAGAAACTTTCTCACTATCCTGATAGATAAGCACTGGAAGAGGTTACCAGAGAAAGCTCTGGAATGGTCTGACCACAGGCTTTAAGAACAGCACTGACTTAACCAGAACGGTTCAGTTCACCTGGATCTGCATCCCAGGAGGCTAGAGGCCTTTTCAAAATCCTTCCTGGTCACATACCTCTGTGATTCTTATCTACACCGAGGAGGAAGAGGAGGAGGAGAGTATCTATGGGATACATTTCTCCCCCCTCAGGCCCCAGCAAATCCAGTAGAGACAAGAAGGGGTGTCAGAGAGGAAGCAATGTCACAGAGCACATCTTGGCCCTGTTGTCCTAAGCCGACATCTCCTATGGTTGGAGCATTATAGAGACATTTCAACTCCTAGGTCATATTTCTAGCCTGATAGTTTCTATCAACCATTCATTCCTGAAAATCAACTGCTTTGTAACAGTCCATCAACAGCAACCTAAGGATGAGCCTCTGGCAGTGAGAGCGGCATATCTACACTTTGCAAGCTCCAGTAATACAGGTAATAAAACTAACACTTAGTGGAGATTAAGTAAGCTTGTCAAAGTAACCCATGACATAAAGAGCACTGTGCTTTCTAACCCCAGAGGAAGGGGATATTTCCTTATTCACTACAGAGTTTCCTATAGAGCAAGCACAGCCTGTCTGCATTGAGATATGCTCATCAGAAGGCTATGATATCAATGAAAGAAAATACAGCTAATTATTCACAGCTTAGCTAAGGTAGAGTTAGTCAACACACCACAATGAAAGCACTACCTGGCACTTTGCCTTCTCAAATCCAAATCTATAATGACTGCACAGAGCCTTTCTTGGCACGTAACACTAAAAAAAAAAAAAAAGCAAGGTGCTGTTTGGACCCAGCTCTGGAGGTCTGTGTTCAAACGCAGTTGCAGTTCATAAATGAAAATGACTCAAAGATCACATCCCACACATCTAGAGAACTGAGTGCTGGCACCAGAGGGTTTGCCAGGACTAGAGGAGGCCAGTAAACTGCCTGCACCAACAAAGCCTGCAGATAGTTGCCACAGGAAGGGAAGAAGAGAAGAGTGTGTATGGGTTTGGGGGGGGGGTTGTATTGGGGTTTTTTTGTTTGTTTCTTTTGGGTTGGGTTGGGTTTTTTTTAAGTGCTGAGGGCTGTGTAAGACAAGGAAACCAAATAACCTCTGGGACTCCCACATGAGATCATCAGGAGGATTAGATCTAGCACAGTCAGCTCCTAATTTAGTGCATCCCGTAGCCTTTGGTATGGGGACAGGGAAAGGGGTGCTGAGCTGGACTTACTTTTACATCTTTTTTTTTTTTTTTTTTTTTTAAATCCTGAATAAATAAAGATCCTATTAATTCTACAAACCTGCAGTTACCATCTCTGTGTGGAACTTATTCAGCCTACTTGCATCTATTAAGTTACATACAATCTCACCTGAATGAGAGTTTCAAATTGCACCTTCTGTTGTGAAACAAAGCAGTTGAACAAATGAACACTGAATAGAGGGGGTTTAGATCAAGAAATTGGAAATACTGGGTGGTACAATGCAGGGCAGATCTTTACCAGTGTGTATAGAACTACTGCAGCAGAGAGAACCAGCTGGTTCTCCTCCCTTCCACCTGCTACGCTACACTACAAAAATATCAAAAGATGCACTTATATATAAATGGTGACAGAAGAGAACACTATTGATAGAGCTGTTCCAGTCATGTTCTGAGATTGCAGACAAGAAAGGGGTTACCTGCAAGACTAGGAAGTGGACAGAAAGTGTAAGATAAAGCACAAAGTCGCAGACAGAAATGAGGTGATGGTATACTAGAGAGATGGAATAAAATTATGAAAAAAAATAAAAATCAGAGTCTGGCCAAACTATTCTTAAATACTTACCTTAAATACTATAAACAGTACTGTGAAGTTGTAGGGATCAGATTCCTATTCTCTCTCTCATTTTCAGTATGTAAATTGGGATAATCAGTCAGCTTTAAAGCAAAGCAAGTTCAACAGGAGTCATGCGGAGAGCAGAGTTGCCCTCTCTTGAGCCACCAACACTATCTGCAGCACTGTGTCTCAGAACAGGCTTCATACCAGCATCAACCCTAACTACTTGTTTGGCTTGTGAGCCACTGGAAAAAAAAAGTTGCAAATGGATATGCTTGCAGTAGTAACCTTATACAGTGACGAGGGAAATGTCATCAAACCCACAACTTTTGTAAGTCCTGCATTTACATGGATACTGAATGCTCCATATGGCCTGTATTCCTGTAGAACAGAATCTCATAGATTTTACTTCAGTTTTATAACCTTGAGATAACAACAAACATGAAGGCCACTATCTTCATTCTATAGTTTTCTGTCATCAACAGAAAATAAATAAATAAATAATCACAGAACAAACCAGAAGACTGACTTACTCTCCTGAATCCCAGGCTGATGCCCTACCTGCTCTCACTTGCAGCTTAACATTTAGGCACCTTTTAATAAGGAATGAGACAGGCTGTTTAACCTACCCAAAATGACTCTCTGGGTCACTGCAATGTCTGTGTTCTTGGACAGGACAGCTTCTGAGAAGGGGGGCCAAATGTCCATCAAGTCTGATGGCAAGGTGGTTAGCTTGTTGCTGGATATGTCCAGGTAGGTGAGGTTTCTCAGGTACCGGCCAGCATCAGCAACACTTTATTGTTGTGTAAATCAAGAGTCCGTAGGTTGGGCATCTCTGCCAGTGATTCCCAAGGGAAAGTCGAGAGCAGATTACCATCCAGCCGTAGCTCATGCAGTTGTTTCAAGTTATAGAAGCTGCTGATATCAATGTTGGCTACACAGTTGTAAGTTACCCACAGGTATTTGAGATCTACTAGGTAGTAAAAGGCTTCAGTTGGAATCCTTCGTATGACAGTTTTCTCTATACGAAGTTTTACAGTATCCACAGGAACATTCACAGGGATCTCATACATGTCAGGATCATTACAGAGCACAGACCTAGCATCAAAAAAAATGTAAAAAAAAAAAAAAAAAAAAAAAGAGACAGCACACGGCATTTCTTTATCAGAACTTTGTATTTCAGATTTAAATGCAAATGCTATTACTTTCTGCAACACTACTAGCAAAATAAACAATGTGAAATCAAGATCAGTCCTCTGCATTTAAAAACTGAAAAGACAAACGTGGAGTTTCTAAAGAAAAAAAGAATACAAAACAGCAATGATACGTTCGCATGAAATCCAGATTTCCTTTTTTCTAAAGCATGAAAGCACCATCTTCCGCACATCATTCTATTGACAACCAAAAAACAGAAGTCGTTGTATAAGGAATTACACATGCATGTATCTCAAGTGGGAACTGCTTGCCATCTGATTTACTAAAATTCAGAATATTGGATTACTAATTTCTAATTTTTCTGCATGATGAAAGTTCAAAGTATGTGTCTAGATTTACCTTTCAGAACAGATTGAAAATTGAAATTGTTAGCTTGTTTCTCTAAAGGAGAGCTTTCTAGCCCTCTTTCTGGTGTCTACATAGAAATGACCTGCTTTTTAGAGGTGCTAAGAACATTCTGCTCCCGTTGATTTCCCAGCACTATCAACAATCGATTTGTTTCCGTTTCTTTGGGGTATATTGTTTGCATATTTCAGCTTGAAGATTCCCCTCCCCTCAATAAGCCTATCTTTAATTTTCTCCCCCTTTTCCCTATATTCTTCCTCTACTTTACTTTCTCCTCATGCAGTTTTATACTACTTATTGTCACAAAACATCTAGCAGTGACAAAAAGTACATCCCATCATGACAATACACAGATCACAAAATTTCAAATTAACCTCTTTATTACCAAAAATTATGATTTTGCTGCAGATTAAAAAAAAATTAAAAATAATAATAATAAAAAACCTACTGTATTTATTTCAACCAGAATCATCTTACAGTAGAAAACCAGTTTGTAGAAATAGAAAGAACATTACAATAGTAGGAAAATCATAGAACAGAAAGAAATTGCCTTCTGCAAAAACTGTAGATTTAGAGTAGCTATTTGCTAAGTACAAAGCCATAATCACCATCTGCTCCTATTCAGGAACGCTGCTAGCCATTTAACCTCAGTGTAAAATACACCTTTATTTCAACTACGCTAGAACTAATTTGCAATGTACGTGAATATTATTCCCAATTCCTTCAACCCTTTTCCTTATAAATTGCCTTGTATAGCAAACAATAAAATATATACCTTGTTCCAGTGCCATCACTTCTGCCATGGTAAACGCAAGTGCATTGTGAAGGACAAAAACCATGCACTTCTTCGAAAAAGCTCATTAGGAAGTAGAAGAAAATAAACAGATACATGGCTTCCTCCCAGCAGAACTGATATGAAAAAATTTGAAAACTTTATTCCTAGGCACTCATGTGCAGTATGCTACAAATGTGAATGTAGACATCCATTTAGTAACAGCAGATTACATCAGATTAGCTGAGATCTGTAGTTGCTTAACCTTCAAATGTATCCTGAAAGGGATCAGTTAAACCAGCTCATTCTTTATTCTGTCAGAAGAACACACTCCGTTTCAAATCGTACCCAGCATGTTTCAAGGCTGTTTTAACATGTAGCTTGTAGGGTTAGTATGTAATAAAATATCTCTTTGCTCCTTCCAAGAGGCAATGCATCAGTTACTGTCCATAAAGTGTTCCAAGGTTCCTGAAGGAAATCTAGCACAGCATGAGGATATTGCATGGCATTTTCTTTAATACTAAAAATTACAAATTAATAGGAAGCCTAGATTCCAGAGCGCTTAAAAAATCCTGTAAAAACAGGTTTTTACCAAAAAAAACCCACATATATTTTAAATAAGTTACACACTGCAAAGCCAAACTTCAGATGCATGCATACATAATAACAGAAGATATTTATTCTCAAAATCTGAGAATCATCAAGAGTGCATATACTACCATTCATAAATAGATCTATACACAGCCTCTTTTCCATCCTCAATAAATCCACCGCTCACATCACCAAAGGTATTTTTTTTAATTACACAACAGACCTATATAACCACGAGCTTGACTTAGAAATTATAAGAAAAGATCATAAAGTCAAGCTTTAGGGTGCACTTTGCCTCATTTCCAGGATTTGCTGTGCAGTCACAAGCACTAGAAATGTACCACTACTAAAAGAAAAGTGGATTTTCCTACAAATTCATTTGGTTGTGTGAGCCAGAACTTTAAAAATACATCAAATATCTGAAACCCCTTCAAAATCCTGAAAGCTGATAACAGGTTCTTTAGGGTTTGGCTAGATATTTTGATATCTTAACATATTCACAGAAACAGAACTTTGCAAAGCATATCAACATGGACAATTGGTATAGAAATATATTTACACAGGGAGAATCCAGAATATTTCCAGTTTGGAAAACTTTCAAGGGAAGTTGAGAGAAAGTAATTCATGGAAGGAATTACAGGTGCAAAATCTATGCTACTGAACCTAAGCACGTCCTGCTTCAGTCTCTCCCTGCCCCTGCGCCACCTTGTCCAACCCTCTAAGAGTCACAGCGACCACTTCACTGGCCTTTTTTATTTGGGGCAGACGTATTGGGCCAACAAACCTCACTCTCAAAAGCTAATGTCTTTGTGGGTTTTGTATTTTTGTCTTCTTAACCTATCTAAAAAGATTACTGTCATTAACAGAAAACAGCTGGCTGGCTGGGACAGATTACTATTCCAAAAGATTAATTAACTTCAACCCAGATTTCACTCCTTTCCATGTAACTTATGCAGGCAAATGACACGAGTTCTATGATGTCAGTGCACTTTGAGATACACTCATGGGCAAGGCATTGTTTATAGTTATCTCCTGTCTTGTCTGACAGCGCACCATTGCCAGTATTGCCCTCCGAAACCTGCAAAAGACAAGGAAGGGAAAGCAGAAAGATTGTTAGCTGGAGAGCCAAATACGAAGAAAAACCGGGTAAGCTGGCCTTAAGTATTACAACAGCCTTCAATTTTAGTAAAATTTAATAAAAAATGGTGTGTTTGGAATTCAAAAGGACCTGAGTATTTTTCATTTCCATGTACAGGAATAATTCAGTTAAGTTCAGTGTTTCTTCTACAACAGGGGTCACAGAAGCTTTTGCTTATCTCAGGACAGGGTATACCCATGACAAAGACAAACTTACAGAATGTGGGAAAAATTAGATGGGTTTTCAGTGACTCAGCAGGATCAGATAAGTTCACCTAGACAGAGATCATAGGCTCTGCTTCTCAGTTGGTAGTACAGAAAGGAAGGACACCTCTTTGCAAAACCTAGTTCTCAGTCAGAGGCACTGGCTTGGTTAGAGCATTTGATATGCTTCTCAAAACAGAAGGACAGGCTTAGCCTATTTACTTTAACAGAAAGTGTCAATCCATCCTAATCAGAATATGACACATCCCAAATCAAGCAAGGAAATCTGCAAAAGTTGCATGTCACTAAGCTGCATTTTGGCCACAGTCATTAAAACTAGTCTACTGCTAATGCAACCCAAATTCTGTACCGAGTCCCTTTGAGAAACCACAAAGGGACTTTCAAAACTCTTACAAGAGTTCTGTTAATGTGCTCTCAAAAAATCTTTATCAGTTCAGTATGTTCTGATGATCAAAGCAATGTTTTCAGGCTTTCCTGCCCAAATGGTCATCTTTGGTAGACCTTACCATTTAATCTCTTTGCTAATCAGTTTGTCATATTTTACAGACGATCAGTCTATAGTTAGATGATATGCTAAAATCATGAAGTAGATTGGTACTAAATTAGGAACACTTACTTTTTGTTTGCAATGACATAAATGCAGGGATTATAGAATGTGGAAGATTTTGCAAACAGAGGAGCTATGATGGCCATTGCAGGAGAAATTTTCTTTGGGTCTCCAAAGGAAGACCATAAACACACAATAGAATAAGGAGACCATGCCACCAAGAACATTACAATCATCACAACTGACATCTGTAAAACAAGAGGAACAGACACATAACCAGTATTACCTGAAGATGAAGACCTCACGACCTAACCTCAAAAGCACATGCATCTGTGTGAAAACACAGCTACCCAGAACCAAATAGCAACAAGTAACCAAGCACATCTGACAAATTTTGACAGGTTCTACTGAAATGTCACTTTGGGTATTTAATAGCACATCACACTGCCATGTATTTTGGCATGCTGTTATTTCATTACATACAATCTTCCTTCACAGTCAGCACTACTGATCATGTTAAATCTGCCCATCAGAAGTTTAAATGGTCAGAAAGAACTTCGCACATGAATTATGACCACCATAACAGGTCACTCTGGGGTGCTATTACAAACAATAAATATGAACAGAGAGAAAAATCTAAGCCAAACATTTAACAAGGCTGTTAATAAAAATGTTTCATAAGGCTTAACTATGGTACAGTTAAATAAACCAAAGTAAATGTTCTAGGACACAAAGGCTCAGTCCATTTACTTAAGGAACCCAGAGGCATCTGCTTGGTTTAATGAAGCATGATAGCCATGTTCAAGCATCATACTGAGGAGATATCTGAGCAGTTATGTCTTCTCTGCCTGCCTGTCAGAGAGAGCGATCTGGGCATCTTGGGGCTCACACCCCAGGACACTCCATGCCACAGCTAGAACTGAACAGTGACAAACTGGGGGTAGTGGGAGGGTAGGAGAGGCTTTTGTCTTTTGTCAGGGATGTGAATCAGTAATGGAAACTGGAATGGAAATCTCAAATTAATTGAGAGGACAAACCAAATCACTAGAAAAATCAAACCAAACCGCAGGACTTTTGTATGTACAGGACTCCCTCGTGTTGTTTACCTATCCCCTTATTCAGTCTTTCGGTGATGAACAAAATGAGAAACAAGAAGTAAATGGCTACTTCGTATGAGGTGTTCTAGAGTATGACCAATAAACAAGCAGTGACCCTCCCCACAGAAGATTTCTAGTTAAATACGAACTCAATACCTATTGATAACAATGTAAAGAAAGAACACTTCGTTTAGAAGTTTGTTCGGTGCATAGAAAGCTTAGAAGATGCTAATTTGTGGAAAAGCAAGCAGTCCAGTTCTAGAGAAGGATACTGCTTAACTCCAAAAGCTTCAGGTTTCGTTTTGTTTTTTAATTTTTAAATATAACTTAGTGTCTGCAACTGCAAAACAGGAAAAATGCGTTTTCTTCACAAATGTGAGTCTAAATTTGTAACTGAATCCTCAATTTCAAGCACTCTGAAAGTTCTTCAGAAGAGCACAGGGAATGTTAAGTTTGCATTGATAAGTAATTCAAAAGCATATGTACATACTCTTCTATCCAATTCTCTGTCACATTTTTATCATGCCCAAACATAAATCATACCTTTACACAGAATCAAAGGAGCTAGTGAACTTCAAGACTTCTCAAGGACTTTTATACATTAAAAGAATGTCAACCTTCCAGGCAGGAAATACAATTTTATGCCATAACTCACATTTGCTACTGTTTACATAAGGAAGATAAGCTCGACAGAGTGAGAAGAACAAGGGATCAGAATCACACAGCTCGGGAGCTTGGAAAGGCAGTTTCATTTCTAGGCCACGAGTTCAAATTAGAGCTGGCCAATCCATTTCAGACCAGGTACACCCATGAACCTAGCAGAAAGCCTAAGGACTTTGCAGACACAAACAGTGAAAGTCCTCCTAGGACACTTCTGAGGTACATTTCTATGTAATGACAGAGGGCAGAGGCAAGGAAAGCTCACATTGTTCCCAGCCTTCAAAGTAGCTAATCATCTGGAAAGAGTATTAGGCCAAAAGTAAAGAATCTAGTGTTATAAGTCAAGACAAGAGTTTTCACCAAGGCTAAATTTCAGTTAATATGTAGTGGAAAAGGGGGAATGTAGGAAACAGAAATGCTTAAAAGGCTGCGCTGTTACTTTTGCCCCCAAAAATTTAACACAAAAGAACATTCTTAAAACAAAACATGCCCTTATTTACCATACCTTTGTCACGTCTACTTGGTCAGACCAATCTATGTTGATGCTCTCCAGGCAGTTACTGCTGGCATACTGTTTCATTGTCCGGGAAACATTGTAATAACAGTAAAACATGACTGTTAAGGGTACAACAAAATTAACAGCAATTACACTCATTGTGTAGGAAACAAAGGACCTGATAAGACAGAAAAACAAAACACAGTAACTTACAAATAGCCAACCAGGATAAGTTACTAAAGAATTTGATACTTTGTTTTGATTATGAAATTTTAAAACAAGCTTTTAAAGAATTAGGAAAATTTTCTTTAGCTTCAGGCTTTTTACTAGCAACTACAAGTCTTGCAGTTTTCAAGCATGGCTCAA